AAGCCCGAAAAAGCCCTTCCCAAACGGACCCTAATTATCACAACTCCGATTGGTAGCTCAAAAAAGGCGTGGCTCGAATGGCCCGACACCAAACGACGTTGTTTTGATGTTTTTTTTTTCTCTTCGCCATTTTCTGAAGTTGAAGAAGAAGAAAAAGAAGAGAAGAAGAAGAGGAAAAGTGCAGACGGCTCAAAGCAGCAAAAACATCAAAGCAGATTCACATCAAACACACGCCAAAGATACACAGATTCACAAGCTGGGTTTCTTCAACATCAACATCTTCATCAACATCATCACCATCATCATCATCAACAATTTTTATTTATTTATTTATTTTTTTTCACATCCAAAACAACTAAAAATATATATATATATATATACAGAAAACAGATTCAGATCCAAAACAACTAATATATATATATATATACAGAAAACAACATCAACATCATCACCATCATCATCATCATCAACAATTTATTTATTTATTTATTTATTTTTAGATCCAGAACAAGTAAAAAATAAAATAAATATACAGAAAACAGATTCAGATTCAGAACTAAAAAAATATATATATATATACTCATCATCTCCAGATCAACATCATCTTCTTCAGATCATCATCTTTAGATCGGTGATGGCAGTCGCCGGGGATGGCGGTGATGGCGCCGGTGATGGCGAGTGTCTCTTCCTCTTCTTTTCTTCTCCTCCTCTTCTTTCTCTCTTCCCCTTTTCTCCTTCTCTTTCTCTTTTCTGTCTTCTATCTCTCTGTATTCTAATTCAAAAAGCAAGAAAAAGAAAAAAAAAAAAAGAAGAGAGAAATCCAAAACGACGTCGTTTTGGGTTTCGGGCCGAAATCGAGCCACCGAATTTCGAGCTACCAAGGATAAAGAAGAGAGAAATCCAAAACGACGTCGTTTTGGGTTTCGGGCCGAAATCGAGCCACCGAATTTCGAGCTACCAAGGATTATTCTAATTATCACCTTGCTTGTATTCAAAATATTAAACCCCTTTATCAGGAAATTATTTTAAATAAAAATTTAAATATTTAAAAAAAAAAATTAAGATACCCCATAATATTTATGAAAAAATCTTAAAAAAAACAGATACACCATAACATTTATGAAAAATATTTTAAAAAATTAATCAAATACAAAAAAATAAAAATTTTCAATATATTTTCATGTTCTTATGTATTTATTAAATTTTCTAAATATTTTTTTATAAAAATTTTACTTTTTAAATGTATCTAGATAATGTGCATTTAAAAAATAAAAAATTTACTTAAAATATATATATATTTTTTAAATCGCTAAAAATAAAAATACACTAAAAATAAAAATACTCAATTTTCAAAAAATCAATCAAAACCATATAATTTCTAAAATCACAAAATAATCCATATTTTAAACAAGGGTATATTTGTTATTTATAATTTACCCACTATATTTTAAAAAATCAATAAATACAAAACAAATATAAATGAAATAACTTCTTGAATTATTTTTTATTTAGTAAATTTAAAAAAAAAAATTAAAAAATTTAAAATTTTATAGTTAAAGTGAATCTCACATTATGTGAAACTAAAGTCCAAAATTAAAACTAAAATGTTATAAAAAAATCACTAAAACCAAAAACTGGCAACAAAAAACTTCAGTTTGATATTCCAAATATTGTTACAAATACACTCTAAAATTTACTTAAAATACAATTTATCCCTTATAATTAAAAAAATTACATCCCACCCTTGAAATTTTTAATTTTATAACAAAACCCTTATTATTAATAAATCAAGTCAATTAACAATTATAATTATATCAGTCAATTAACAATTATAATTATATCAAAAAATTATTTTAATTAATAATTCAAGTAATGTTAATCATTATATGAAAAAACAGTTAAAAGAATATTATTTTTTCAATTAATTTTGATAAATAAAAAATTCTTATGAGATAATATTTATAATTTTATAAATCACATGGACAACTCATATTTTAAGTAAACTTCAAATGTTGTAATTATAATTTAGACAACAAAATATGAAAAAATATCACTAAAAAGAAAATCATCTAAAAATAATTTTTAATTGTTTCAATTGTCACCATCAGTCACTGGACAGAGTAGTTAAAATTGTTTTACATGCAATAATAGTAACTCATTTTCCCGTTTCTTTTCTTTCAAAAAATAATGTGTATATGATTAGAAATTTTTGGAATTTTTTAGAAACTGCGGGGGTGTTTAGAATAGTTTTAGAATTATGATTCAAAAATAGAATTGTATTTTGAATTAGTGAATTTTAAAATAATGATTTGAGTGTAAAAAATTTATCTAGTTAAGAGTTCTAAAAAGAGTTTTAAGAATTTTGAATTGAGTTTCAAATTTTTAATATGACATATGATATTTGATATAAAAACTTACAACTCAACCAAACGCACAACTCAAGATTCTATTCAAAGCTCATAATTTTTTTAAAAAAATTTCAATTTTTTTTTATTTAAAATATAAAAAATAACAGGTACTAATTGTAAAAATAAAAAAATAAATAATTAAAAAAATAACACTTTTCCAGTAAACCGACCGGTCAATTGGCCAGACGTTGGGAAAACGACCGATTAGCTCAAATTTTCCTACATTGGAAAGAGTTTTCAAAAATAAGTCAAATTAATTTTTAAAAACTCTAAACAAACGAAACAATCAAAACTAAAAGTGAAAATATATTTAGAGAAGCTAACCAAACATAACTAGAGTTTTTTTATTTTTCATGTCTTCTTATTTTTAATGAATTTTTAAATTTTTTTTTTAATATTTTAAATACACCTTACTTAGATGTATCTAAAAAATAAAAAAATTATGAAAAAATATTTTAAAAAATTAATAAATACATAAAAATACAAAAAATATACTAAATTCTCGTATGTTTTTGTATTTTTAATATTTAATGAATTTTTAAAAGATTTTTCACAAAAATTATATTTTTTTATGTATATTTGTATTTATATTAGATGTGTTTAAAAATTAAAAAAATTACTTCAAATATTAAAAAAATTTAGTAAAAATAAAAAAACACAAAACAAGAAAATAAAATTTTCTAAAGAGTATTTTTAGAAAACCAAGAACAAGCAAAGTGAATAAATTTCAGAACCCCAACACAAATTTAATATTCTAAAAGCACTAAAAAGTTATTCAAAATAATAGACATTTTTTCAACTAGCACTATAAATGAAGGGTAAATTAAATATTTCAGTTAACACTCCATTAGTAATTGCGGTTAGGTCGTATCCTTGTAAGTCGTTGATAAACGTGCTTAGCGTTATCCAGTGTCAAGCACCTTAATTGGTATGAGAGCCAAGTTTAGTACTATTTATATTATGATTATATTATAATTAAATTATACATATATGGTCCCAATACAACCGAATGAGTATTGCACCTACAGATGAGTCCATCACTACAGTAGCCAATACAATAGCTTTTACATCAGAAGCAAGGGAATTAGTTGCCTACCAGGATGCAAGGGAAGCCTTAGACAAATGGACTATCCCAAAAGTCAAGCTTGATACTATCTATAAAATAAGAACCTTTGACTTCACCAGTAGAAAAATAATTAAAACATTTGAGCATGCTGTACCTATACAGAATAATGATGAGGTTATGTATCTCTTGCATATACATGATTTATATTCATTCTTACAAAAGTATAAATATGTTCATATAGGACTTGTTCAGATAGCATTCAAACCTTTGACCTTATTAGGACAAAATACCAGTATTCAATGCACTTTTAAAGATGGTAGATGTCTCGATTGGAGAGCATCTCTTGTGGGAGCCATAGAAACCAGTCTTTCCTATGGTCCAATATATTTTAATATATATCCAAACCAAAGTGTAGCACTTATTGACCCCAACCTGTCAAAAGTTTTAGAACTTAGGATTCTTTCTCAGGATTCTTTCTCATGCCTATCAGTATTTTCCTGGAGCACCAGCTTTTACAGTAATCTCTAGGATTCATTTGAAGGTATTAACCACCCTAAATCTTTATACCAAAAAACAGAGTGAGTTAGGACATACAATCCTAATTGATACCAACATTTTTAGTAGTCAAGTTGCTGTTCCAAGAATGATACCTTGGCAAAATATAACATTTCCAGAACGATGGCAAATTCCTAACGCTGTTCCAGTTCGACCCATCGTAAGACAATCCATAGATGATGTAATACAGACGCAAGGAGGTAATATATATACCTCCCTTTTAATAGGCCAAACCGGCCATTATCCAAAAGCATGTCTAGTGCCAGTTTTAGAACTGCTCCATCTTATAGAGTAGATCTACTTGAATCTTCTAGACAATCTACTTCAGAACCCATAAAGCCTGTATTATAAGGAATGCCATTTAGACCTCCAAGTGATACAAATCCTGACAATCCTACAAATCCAATGATACAAGGAATTCAATTTTCAGAAAATCAAATACTACGTGGTGTGTATGAATCCAGAAGGCCATATAGTCCAATGACCAGTGATATGAATTTTGAAGTTTAATGGATTTCACACCAGGAAGTGAAAATCGAAAAATCCTAAATCAGGATTTTCTCCAAGAAAAATATCAGGAATTTAGGACATGGTATTTTAGGAATCATAATCCTCTTCAACTTGAACAACTTAAACAACAATATTATTATCATTTAGAGAAACGCCAGAAACTCCAATCTTTTCCTTTATGGTATCTGAAAAATAACATCTTTTCCAATCTTTTCCTTTATGTCTCTGGAATGTTGTTATTTTCTATACACCATAAAGGAAAAGATTGGAGTTTCTGGTGTTTCTCTAAATGAGAATAATACTATTGTTTAAGCTGTTCAAGCTGAAGAAGACTATGATTCCTAATATAGCATGTCCTAAATTCCTAATATTTTTCTTGGAGAAAATCTTGATTTAGGAAAACACAGTATCCCTCAAAAAAACAGAAAGTAAAAATTTTAAAAATCTTCAAAACATTATTCTAAAAAATACAAAAAATATAAAACTCCTAAATCGAGTTATCAACAAAATTCACCCCACCGATCTAAAGGCAAACAAAAAGCCTCATCCATGAAAGATAAATCCGCAATAAAATGTTACAAATGTAACAGGGCATTATGCTAATCGATGCCGATCTAAAATCCAACAAAAATTAAATGAGAAGGCACTTGATGATCATTTCCAACAGTAGATTCTTCAAGCCTTATCTGAAGCCGAATTCGATACTAGTTCTAGTTCAGATGATGGACTTGCTAAACTTAATTCACCTTCTGAGTTCGATTTCGAATCTAACTCAACTCCAGAAATTTGTCCCTGAAAACAAAATAATATTAATCAAATTTCAGAAGCAAACTATTGGAATGCAATAGTTGAAATGAATAGACTTGACATAGGAGGGCATAATCTAAATGTCCTTACTGATAATGAACAGCAAATGTTAAACATTGCTGACCAAATCAGCAATCCTGAAATGAAATTAAAATTTCCAGAAATGTATTACCAACAGCATAAAAAGGAAGATATTGGCCTTCCTCCTAATCATTACAGTATAAAAGAAGTTTATAATCGATTATAGCATACTTCTGACGAAAAACCTATCACAATTCAGGATCTTAAGATGGAAGTTAATGTTTTAAAAACAGAAATTAAACATCTCCAAATAGCAAATTTAGCAATTACTGCTGATATTAAGAAAATTAATATTTAATTAGGCCAACAGAAGATACCTCCCCAAAAAAAGGCGTCACCGAAGAAGAATCCAGTCATGAACACCCTGATCCATCTGATAATCAATATCACATGTTAATGAATCAGGTTACTTTCCAGAAATGGTATATCAAGATAATTTTTATTATAAAACCAGATTTTATAATAAAAGATGTTGTCGTTCTTGTAGATAGTGGTGCTGATATGAATTACATATAGGAAGGATTAATGCCTATCAAATATTTCCAGAGAACTACTCAGTCACTAACCAATGCTAGTGGCAATGAATGTTTGTTATAAACTTCCAGAAGTTCTCATATATAACCAGGGCATTTGTCTTCTAACCTCATTTGTCCTGATCAAAAATATGCCCCAAACTATTATTTTAGGGACACCTTTCCTATGTTTATTAATGCCAATCACAAAAGTTGATTCCACTGGCATTCATACAATCATAAGTAATCAACCGACTATTTTTGAATTTATTACAGAACCTTATACCACAAAATTAGATCAAATTAAGGATCGAGTTAATTTTAAGGAAAAGCAAATTAATTTCCTTCAAACAGAGATACATTTTCTCACTGCAGAACAAGGGTTACAGCAATCTTATTTGCAAAATAAAATCAAATCGCTTGAAAACGAATTTCAGGCTGAAATCTGCAGTGATGTTCCCAATGCTTTTTGGAAAAGAAAGAAACACGTTGTTTCTCTTCCGTATGAACCAGGATTTAATAAACGTGAAATTCCTACCAAATCCCAACCTATTCAAATGAAAAAAGAGCATTTAGAAATGTGTAAAACAGAAATAAATAACATTTTCCAGAAGAAGCTAATTCGTCCAAGTTATTCTCCTTGGAGTTGTACAGCCTTCTATGTTAATAAAAATGAAGAAATTAAAAGAGGTGTGCCAAGATTGATCATCAATTACAAACCTCTCATTGATACCTTAAAATGGATTAGGTATCCTATTCCGAATAAGAAAGATCTTTTAGATCGATTACATGATCCAATTATTTTTCAAAATTTGATATGGAATCAGAATATTGGCATATTCAAATTGCTAAACAAGACAAGTATCAAACTGCTTTTACAGTACCATTTGGACATTTTGAATGGAATGTTATGTCATTTAGATTAAAAAAATGCTCCATCTAAATTTTAACTTATTATGAATCATATACTTACCTCTTATATAGAATTTGCTATTTATTATATTGATGATGTTCTTATTTTTTCATCATCCATTGACCAGCATATTAAACATCATAATATTTTAAAGTATGTTATTATCAGAAATGGTTTGGTAATTTCTGCACCAAAAATGAAACTTTTTCAAACTACAGTACGCTTTTTAGGCCATAATATTCATAATGGTACTATAATCCCCCTATTGACCGAAGTATGGAATTTGCATCTAAATTTCCAGATGAAATAAAAGATAAAACTCAATTATAGAGATTTCTTGGTAGTCTCAATTATATTAGTGATTACTACTATCAGTTAGCACAAGATGCTGCAATCCTTTGTACTAGACTTCGGAAAAATCCTCCACCATGGCCACCAGAACATACCAAAGCTGTTCAGAAAATAAAGCTTAAAGCAAAGACTCTTCCTTGTCTTGCTTTATCAAATCCAGCATGGAAAAAGATTGTCAAAATTGATACCTCAAATCAAGGGTATGGAGGTATTTTAAAACAATTTAATCCCACCAATCAAAAAGAAGAACTTTTACGGTTTACTTCAGGAAATTGGAAACAAGCATCATTAAATTATCTGACTATTAAACAGGAATGTTTAGCCATTGTTAAATGTGTTTCCAAATTCCAAGATAATTTATTAAATCAGCAATTTTTTATTCATGTTGACTGTTCTGCAGCCAAACAAATCTTTAAAAAAGATGTCCAGAATCTTGCTTCCTGGCAAAGCTTACTTTCAACATTTGATTTTGATATCGAGTATATTAAAGGTGAATAGAATTCTTTACCAGACTTTCTAACCCGTGAATACTTGCAGGGTTCACATGTCCAGTAAAGGCCGAGGCCCAGGCCGCCGGGGCCGCGGAAGGGGTTCTAACCCTTACCATGTACAGAATTCGTATCATACAGAATTCTCAGGGCTTCAAGCTACCCTTAACAGCAAAAAAGGGAAAGCTAGCCAAACAGCTAAAGATGTCCTTCTTACTCCTCCAGAACCTTATATAAAGAATACAATAATTGAGGAAACAGTTCTCCACATTAATACAGAAGATGAACAATGGATGTCGGATCCATAGGAGATCAAACGAAGGTATCTCACCACTCAACAATTTCCGCCTCATTTTGATCAATACAGATACATCCATGAACAAATCCTCGTTGAGACTGCTTTTATTGAGTTCAAACATCCTTTGGATGATCCCAATAGAACTGCCAGCCCTATTAATTTCAGCAAAGCTACCATCCAGAAAATTATGCCTATGGTTGCTTGGGGTATGCATCCCCATGTTACCAAAACCTTGGATATCCGTAACAAGGAATCCTGTTACAGTTATTGAGATTATATTGATGCATTCACTTATGCATTTTATTATCAGAATGCCCCTCGGAGCCATTTTTGGTTTCTCCGCATTGTTCCCGACGTTCTTAAAAATGATCTCCCAAACTGGTTTCTCGTTTGGTGGGGATAAGTTCGGGCTTCACTTAGATATTTTTTCAAAACTCATTAGACAGGCCTTTAATGAATGGCAAATTGCCTACTGTCACCTTCTAGTATGCAAAGATATTTCTATGTCCAAATCAGTTGTCCATTTTGTTATCCACTTTGGAATTCCATAGATATGGAAATCGGATTTCCAATGTGACTTCCAGAACAAAGTCCCACGACTCCAGAGATTTCTTTGTGAAGTGGTGGACAAAAGGATTTGATACCCCTAAGCAACAGCAAGAGACTTTACAGAAAATTCATACCCATACCAAAGCATGCTGGGATGCTGTTCTTAAATTACTCCCAGTAACTCCAATAATAAAGAATCTATTTTTACAGATTCAAACAGAATTACGACAAAAGTATCCAAATTTGTTCGAACAGGAATTAATTATCAAAAGAATGGATTATATGAAGGAACAGTTCCTTCGGTCTCTTTCCAGTGATGATAGCAGTATGAAATCTGTCTCTAGCAGTCAAGAGCCTGATCCAGAAGAAAACCCGACCATGATGAAAATGAGTTCGCAGTTTTTGCTGCCGACACTGAATCTAATCTTAGTGATTTTTGGGACTCTTTGACTAATCTCATTTCAAAAAAAAAATTGAAAAAGAAAAAGACAGGAAAGGAAAAGGAAAGACTGAATGACCTTGTCTCCTACCAGCACAGTGTCTGCACAAAACGACAAATTACCAAGATATCAACTTTCGGTAAAAGCAGATTCCCTATCTGCCATCCAGTATTACCACTTAGCTGTCCAGATAGCTGTCCACTACAGGCCAATAAAGATAAAGTGCTGCGTCATCATTAATCAGCTGAGAATAAGGACGATCGACTCTACCCATTAAGGACACGCCACCTGTCCTCACCTTTATCTTATCTTTTATTTGTCTTTATAAGAGATAGCCTCACCCTTGTTGAGGACAATTTTTTTTTCAGTGTGTTTTAAGTTTTAAGTGTACTCTCTCTCTCTCTCTCTCTCTCTCTGTGTGTGTGCATCTTTCTGTTTAATAAAGTTTGGAGCTTTGGTTGTAAATACTTCTTTTTACCTATTTACTATTTTAATGTATGTCTACAGAATTAATTGTTGAATTATCTGATGCATTAATTTGGTGTAAACAGAGACGAGAAGTATTAGTAAATTTTCATCAATATCATAACGTTTGGCAAACTTTACAGCAACCCATTCAGGCCCTTGACCAGGCCATAACCGATATTGAAAGGCGTCTCTAGCAGGAGATCGTTAGTTTGGCGGCGGCCAATAGGCCACCACCTCCTCTACAATAAATCCATGAGACCATATATGACATAATTTGAATTTAATATAATAATAATAATATGAACAGTAGTATTCTTTGGTTTGTGCTAATTAAGGGTAAAACTGTGTCAGGTTAAGTGGGACGTCACCTAAGTCGCGTAGAGGAAAACTGGTTAGCAGCGATTGCGGTTAGGTCATATCTTTGTGAGTCGTTGACAGACGTGCTTAGCTTTACCCTGTGTCAAGCACCTTAATTGGTATCAGAGCCTGAAAATTGAATTCCTTGTATCACTGGATTTGTAGGATTGTTAAGATTTGTATCACTTGGAGATCTAAATGACATTCCTTGTAATACAAACTCTATGGGTTCTGAAATAGATTGTCTAGAAAATTCAAGTAAATCTACTCTATAAGATGGAGCAGTTCTAATATTGGCACATTTATGTTAAAACTTAAAACACTCTGAAGAAAAACTTGATCTCAACAAGAGTGAGTCTATCTTTTATATAGACAAATAAAAGATAAGATAAGATAAGAGTGATGACAGGTGGCGTGTCCTTAATGAGTAGAGTCAATCGTCCTTATTCTCAGCTGATTAATGATAACGCAGCACCTTATCTTTATTGGCCTGTAATGGACAGCTATCTGGATAGCTAGGTGGTAATACTAGATGGTAGACAAGGAATCTGTTTTTACTGAAAGTTGATATCTTGGTAATTTGTCGTTTTGTGCCGACACTGTGCTTGTGGGAGACAAGGTCATTCAGTCTTTCCTTTCTTTTTCTTTTTCAATTTTTTCTAAAATGAGACTAGTCAAAGAGTCCCAAAAATCACCAAGATTAGGTTTATTGCCAGCAGCAAGAACTGCGAATTCATTTTCATCCTGGTCAGGGTCTTCTTCTGGATCAGGCTCTTAATTACTAGAGACAAATTTCATACTCGTATCATCACTGGAAAGAGACTGAAGGCGCTGTTCCTTCATATAATACATACTTTTGATAATTAATTCCTGTTCGGACAAATTTGGATACTTTTGTCCTAATTCTGTTTGAATCTGTAAAAATGGATTCTTTATTACTGGAGTTACTGGGCATGAATTTTCTGTAAAGTCTCTGGCTGTTGCTTAGGGGTATCAAGTCCCTTTGTCCACCACTTCACAAATAAAACTCTTTTGAGTCTTGGGGCTTTGTTCTGAAAGTCACATTAGAAATCTCATTTCCATATCTATAGAATTCCAAAGCGGATAACAAAATGAACAGCTGATTTGGACATAGAAATACCTTTGTATATTAGAAGACGACAGTAGGCAATTTGCCATTCATTAAAGGCCTGTCTAATGGGTTCTAGAAAAATATCTAACTGGAGGCACTAATAGAATGGCCGCCTTAACAGGACCAAGTAGATAATATTATCCTAGACGTACTCTAATTGTCACCATCAGTCACTGGACAGAGTAGTTAAAATTGTTTTAGGCCTTGTTTGACATATATTAAAAAAGTCAAAAAATTAAAAAGTCACTATTCTATTTAAATCACATCATCTTATTTAAATCACATCACATCACTTCAAATCCAACACATACTCAACCCATATTTCATAAAAAGTCAAAAAATGCTCTTATTTAAAATATCTCAAACAACCCTTTAAATGCAATAATAGTAACTCATTTTCCCGTTTCTTTTCTTTCAAAAAATAATGTGTATATGATTAGAATTTTTTGGATTTTTTTAGAAACTGTGGTGGTGTTTAGCATAGTTTTAAAATTATGATTTGAAAATCAAATTATATTTTGAGTTCTAAAATTATGATTTGAGTGTAAAAAATTTATTTGGTTAGGAGTTCTAAAAAGAGTTTTAAGAATTTTGAATTGAGTTTAAAACTTTTAATATGACACATAATATTTGATATAAAAACTTACAACTCATAACTAAACACACAGCTCAAGATTCTGTTCAAAGCTCATAAAAAAATTTAAAAAATTTCCAAATTTTTTAATTTAAAATATAAAAAATAACAGATACTAATTGTAAAAATAAATAAATAAAACTTTTTCAATCAACCGACCGATCAATTAGTCAAACGTTGGGAAAATGACCAATTAGCTCAAATATATGTCAAATTAATTTCTAAACAAACAAAACAATCAAAACTAAAAGTGAAAATATATTTAGAGAAGCTAACCAAACACAACTAGAGTTTTTTATTTTTCGTGTCTTCTTATTTTTAATGAATATTTTTAAAATTTTAATTTTTTTTTAATTTTTTAAATACACCTTACTTAAATATTTCTAAAAAATAAATAAAAAAATATGAAAAAATATTTTAAAAAATTAATAAATACATAAAAATACAAAAAAATATACAAATTTCTAGTATGTTTTTGTATTTTTAATATTTAATGAATTTTTAAAAGATTTTTTCAAAAAAATTATACTTTCTATGTATATTTATATTTATGTTAAATGTGTCTAAAAATTAAAAAAAATACTTCAAATATTAAAAAAATTTAATAAAAATAAAAAATATATACAAAAAAAAAATTCTAATTTTCTAAAAAGTGAATCCAAAAAATTAAAACTAAATAAGGTGAATATGTTTATGATGACTTTTTAATTTTTTATAAAAAAAATATGTAAAAAATAAAATGAATAGAAAGGAATCTTTTAACTTTTGAATATTTGTTGATTTTTTAGTAATTGTTTGACTTTTAGATATGAACTTGCCAAACAAGGCCTAAATTCTACAAATAATCAATTAAATAAGATAAATTACACTTTGACCATTTTATGTTTGGTTATTTTGCACTTTAACTAAAATTTGTTTTTCTCACTTTAACTTTTCCTACTTTAAGTTTTTCTTAATTTATTTTTAGGCCTCGTTTGTTTAGTGGATCAGGTTTGATGGGATAAAACACTCGTTTGGGAAGTTGGGTTGTTATATATATAAACACATTCTTTCTAAAGCACAAAGCACTTATTCAATGACATTTAGGCTCTTTTGGTAAACATCTGAAAATAAAGTTCTACCCATTGATTTGAGTATGTTATTTGTTTGGAACTTTCAAATCATAATTCTACACCCATTTCTCAAAACTCAATTCAAAATATAATCATTACTTTTCAAAACTCATAACTAAATACATAATTCAAAACTCAATTCAAAATATAATCATTACTTTTCAAAATTCATAACTAAATACATAATTCATAACTCAATTCAAATCAATATTTTAATTTTTTAAATATTTTAATATTTTAATATTTAAATATGTTTCAATTTTTTAAATATTTTAATTTCAAAATATTACGATTTTAATTTTTTAAATTTTAAAATATTTTAATTTTTTTGTTATGTATTTGATTACGATATGAGTGTAGAATTGTGAAAGTAATATAAATTTTCGAGTTATGTGTTTAGCTATGAGTTTTAAAAATAATTTCTTAATTGAGTTTTGTTTTATGTGTTTGGTTATGATTTGAGTGTAAAATTACTTTTAAATTTAAAATATTAATATTTTAAATTATTTAAATTTTTACGATTTAAACTTTTTGAATATTTATTTTGAAAAAAAAATTATTTCCTTTACAATATTTTTAATTAAAAAATTGATTAATGTTATTTCCTGTTAATAATAATTTTTTTAATTGAATTTCAAAAAGAGTTTTGTTATGAGTGTTGATCAGAATTTTCAATAATGTGAAAGTAACGTGTTTTGTTATGAGTTATAATAATTTAAATTAAGTTTTCAAAACTGTTTCCAAAACTCATAACCAAACAAATTTTCTTACTTCACATGTCAAATCAACCTTTCAAAACTCAATTTCATACTCAATTCAAAACTCAATTCAACACTATTAAAAAACCATAACCAAACAAATTTTCTACACTCAAATCATAATTTCACAACTCACAAACTCAAAATACAACTCATACTCTCAAATCATATTTACAAAACTCTACCAAACGCAACCTTAGGCTTCGTTTGGAAAGCGACCCATTATTTAAGCCTAGTTTGGCATAATACAAAAAAACTAAAAAATCGTATTTAAGTTACATCATCTTATTTAAATCATATCATCTCTTTATCACATCACTTCAAACCCAACCCATATTTCACGTTTTTTCATAAAAAATTAAAAAGTGCACTTATTTAGATCATCCTAAACAATCCTTAGCCAAAAAGTCACTAAAAACACTAAAAAACCAACAACTCATACCAAAAAATCAGATTCTTTTTTCTCTCTACTTTTTGCACATCTTTTCGTAAAAAATCAAAAAATCACCCTCAACATACTAATTTTTTTTAATTTATATTTTAATCAAATAACCAAAAAATTACTAAATTAACCTGTTCCCAAACGAGCCCTTCAAATTATTATAGTCGAAAAAAGATTTTGCAGGAAGTGAGGAAAGTTTTGTGGTCAGCTTGGAATCCAACAGAAGCAACAAAATCCAATACCAAAAAACTAGAAATAATATGACAATTGAGGTAACAAAATATCTTTTTATTTCCTTTAAAATAGTCTTTAACAATTTACCAGGTAACTTAATCTTCAAACTAACCTTCGGCATGTATACAAATCACAGTTCAACCAAGACATTGACAAGCACTCCACATTTTCCACCTTTCTACAATCAAACAAGAAAAATTATATTTAATTTAAAAAGGCTAAAAAAATAAAATTGCTGCACTAAGACCATCTCCAACCCTGAACCAAATTTGGTAAAAAAAACACTTTTTCATGCTCCAACGATTTCACCAAATTGATATCAAATCGAGATTTTACCCAACATTTCACCAAAATGAGAACAGGCTCTCCATTTCATCAAAACACTGTGCATGACCGTTGAGGGAGACCAACCGGTCGACCACTAAAAAATTCAAATAGTTTCAAAAAAAAGGTCAAACAGTTGAAAAAAAAAAAAAATTTTTTTTTTTTTGCCTTACCGGTTGACCGGTCGATTACTAAAAGGTTCAAAAAGTTCAAAAAAAAAAAAAAAAAATTTGGCTTAACCGGTCGACCGACCAGCCGATTATCTCGGCATAGATTTGATGAAAATTAACCGTTGGAGCACTTGGTATCAGATTGAAGAAAAAATTATTTTTTTACTCAGATTTGATGAAAACTTTGGTTTAGAATTGGAGATGCTCTAACCACAATAGCTTCAACCAGCTGCAAAACTAAATAAAATGATAATGTTCTCACTGAATAAAATGATAATGTTCTCATAATTTAATAAATAAATAACCAAAAAGTGAGCAATTGTCACACCTCACTTGAGGTCATCAATGCTAAATAAAATAATAAAAGTGTTCCACCATATTTCATCAAAACAGTATCATTAAGAGCATCTCCAACGGTGTACCAAATATTTTACCAAATTTGTGTAAAAAATGGGTCATTTCCTTAATTTGATACTTCGCGCTCCAACGGTTCAACATCAAATCCGTTTCATCAAATTTGCGCTGGGCAACCGGTTGGTTGGCCGTGAGCAATTGTCACACCTCACTTGAGGTCATCAATGCTAAATAAAATAATAAAAGTGTTCCACCATATTTCATCAAAACAGTATCATTAACACAACAGATAGTTTTCACCAAAAAATGATTCATACGGCCATCTCCAAAAAATATTCATAAGGCCATCTCCATCTGTGTATAAATCCATCACTAAATTCAAATTTGATAGAAAATATTCATTTTTTCTACTCTAATGGTTTCATAAAGCAGATATCAAATTGAAAAAACCAAAAATATAATCAAAAAATTTTCACCAAACTGAGAATATTTTGTGCCTTTCATCAAATCACCGCTATATTTTCACCACCGAATGTCTCCCTATGACCACCTCAAAACAAAATTTTGTAAAAATTTTAGATTGACTAGTCATCCGCCCAATCATCAAGTGATTTGATGAAAAACCAAACTCTCCTTTTAAGCAAGTGATATCAAAGACAACTTTTACTCAAATTTGTTAAAAATTTTGATACACCATTAGAAATCCTCTCAGACAGCATTAAAGTTTGTTTAGATCTATTATTTGTAGAAAAATTCGGGTAGAGAAATAAAGAAAGAAAACCAATCAGGTAGAACCTAAGGTTGTGTTTGGTAGAATTTTGTAATTATGATTTGAGAGTATGAATTGTATTTTGAGTTTGTGGCGTTTGAAATTATGATTTGAGTGTAGAAAATTTGTTTGGTAAAGAGTTTTGATTTGAGTAGGAAATTATTGATGTAACATTTGATATTTGATACAAAAATTTACAATTCATAACTAAACATACAACTCAAAATTATTTTAAAATACATAAAAAAATTTAAAAATTTCAAAAAATATTTTTTTCGATTATATAAAAATTAACATAAAAAAAAAATCACTATTTCGATCAACTGCTCTCTGCAGAGTTTTGAAAACATGATTCCAAAACTCTTACCAAACACCATAATTGAATCAAGGTGCAAAATCATAATTTGAGAACACAACCAAACACCACCTAAATTTTTTTAGTATTACCTTCACCTACCCCTCTCTTTATACCTCCTCAAATTTTTATCCAAAACAGTTACAAAGACCAGACAGATTCCTATTCTTGTTGAGTAAAGAAATACCTTATTGGGGCATTGCGACACTTTAGCAAACATGGCGTGTCAGAAGCAAACTCTAGAAATCTATCTCACACGTGAGATGACCCAATAACACTTCCGACTCAAGCCTCCTGGGGATCAGCACCACAACATTTGAAGTAAATACAACAAATAGCAAACACAAGCAGATATACAATACTGAACTGAACGCTATACTTCCTACAATGCATTTGGCCGCACCCTAGGGTAAAATAATAAATAAAAATCATTATAGCAAAAATTGCAATTTGCAATATTAGATATAATAACTGTCCAGCTAGTTTAGTGTATACAACTACAAACAATTTATTCTCTACAATCAATGTGACAAGTTTCAATAACAGAGTTCACACATACCCTCAAGAAATACTAGTATAAAGGACTCAACAACTGCCAAAAAAATAATGAAGTTAACACCACAAAATCTACACAAGAAGAATCAAGATTTAATTTAGACATGTTCAACCCCAAAGTCAGAACTAATGCAATTCAAAATCTGTCACATTAGCTAAAAAAATACACAGCATTAAAGAAATAACACAAAAATAAATTATGAGTTCACCACAAAAGAAAGTACTGTCCCCTCTTCTGCATCAACATGACAAAAAAACTTTTTTGCAATGCATGAATTTATTCCTTCAAATGATCAGGCCGCTAAAATTCATCCTCCCCAGCTAGCACATAAGAATCAAGAATCTTTACTGCAACGCTGAAACAAAATCCATGAACCACATCTGAGATTTAAAGTCCCAACATGCAGCCACTACCATCCCTTGAGCTTTATACTGGTTTACAATTGACATTTTGACTAAATTAAGTTGCATTTAGTAGAACTTTCCAACTATGATTTGAGAATACGAATTATATTTTGAATTTGTGAATTTTGAAATTATGATTTGAGTGTGAAAAATTTGTTTAATAAAAGAAATTTGAAAATATTTTTGAAAAGAATTCTGAATTGAGTAGGAAATTTTGATGTAACATTTGATATTTGATAAAAAAATTTACAACTTATAACCAAATATACAACTCGAAATTCTATTAAAGCACATAAAAAATTTTAAAAAATTCAGAAAATATTTTTTTCGAAAATATAAAAATTAAGCTATCAATTGCCAAAAAAAAAAAAATTACACTGTTCCGGTCAACCGGCCGAACGACCGGTGGAATGTCCAGTAGGACATCCGATCGGACGACCGGTTAGACCAAATTTCAAAAAAAAAAAAAAAATTGAAAATCGCACTTTACAAAGAATTTTCTGCAGGGTTCTGTGTTTATTGTGGAAAACTAATTCCAAAACTCTATCCAAACATGATGTTTCAATGTGGGGGTAGAATCAGGATTTTAAAATCCTTCCAAACAGAGCCTTACAATTACCCATAAGGGACCAACCCTCCAAACCACCACACATTCTAACCTGAACCCTAACCAAAAACACATGCCTATTTTGAAAAGATGATAAAAAATGACTTTTTGACATTTAACCAAGCTTCTAGTTTTCTTAGACAAATGATTTGAAAAGTTGGTAAAAAATGACTTTTGACTTTTTTTAATTAATATTTGTTTATAATGTCTAATCATAATAAAATGACTAAATTATCCCCATTTAGTTTAAAATATTTACAATTTCACCCATGTAACACATTTTGACTCATAAGAGGTAGAATTGTAATTTCACCATTGGCTAAAAATCAACTTCCCAAATGAATTTTTTTTTAAAAAAAGTCAACTTTTAACTTTTGCTACAAACCAAAAAAAGTGACTAAAAGCTAACTTCTCAAAAACAAGCCACAAATATAAACCAGGCAACACACATCATCACAGTACAACTGAACCCCTCTAAAATTACATTATGTGCACAATTACACAATGTCTGAACCAACAATCTACATTTGACCCATCTACAATATTAGTGTCTTTACAATGGGGTCATTCTAGAATACAGAGCCTCACCATATATACATTTTTTATATTAATTACAATAAATATCATAACTAAATTATTTTCAATCATAACTCTAAAAAAATAGTGTCACAATCAAACACCTCATAAAAATATATCCAAAGTCATTTTTATTATAACCAAAATAATGATCATTATAAGTCATAACCAACAAAATAATAATTATAATCATCACCAATCATTTCTTCCGCACATCATTGCATCTAAAAAATAAGTCTAAAAAATAGACTTCTATAACACTTTCCTAATCACAATAGGTCATAAACACCGGTCATGATCAAGTCATAACATAGCAATTAACAAAAGACCACAAAATCATAATTTGGCATATGGTGTCCCAAAAATATTCTTTTTTGGGCGTATGTTAAATGTGACATGGATTTTATAATTAAAAAATGTAAACCATCAAGAATTTTGTAACCAGAAATATTAAGGCCAAGTTTAGAAATCCCAATATAACTCATCTTTTTATCTTTTTATTTTTTTTCCATCACATCACCTCTCTACTTTTCTGTACATTTTTTCGTAAAAAGACAAAAAATATATTTATTTAAAGCACCCCAAACAACTTTTAAATTTTGAGAATAACGATTAGCTTTCCAAGCCATATTGAGTGCTGCTTTTGAAATGAGGCTAATGAGATGGTAGATTCAGACATGCACGAATTTAGTACTGATTTTATGCAATAGGCTTAATTAATTAAAACGGAAATTACATTTCAGGGGTGGTTTTCAGGGGTGGTTTTAAAAACTGAACTTCATAAATATTAATAATTAAAAATATAAACTTTTCATAAATCTGTAATAATTTACTGAAACTACCACTGATGAATAATTTCCCATAATTAAAATGCTCAAAATGCAATAATTAGTGCCAAAATAAATTAAAGGAAATTGTTTGTACCTCTTGGGCTGAATAGTCATGATTTGCCAATCCCATCCTTGCGTTTGCTTGATTGATGAATACAAATAGTTGGCGTGTTGATGTCCCTATTTGTTTCGAATCGATGTAAAATCATCCATTCGAGACACAAATAAAGACCCGATGAACAACAGATTGGGCGTGTTGATGTCCCTATTTGTTTCGAATCGATGTAAAATCATCCATTCGAGAGACAAATAAAGACACGATGAACAACTGAATGCATTGGAGAGAGAATTGGGGAGGACAAAATCAAGAAAAAAAACCCAAAAAAAACAACAAAACAAAAAAGACGCAACACACAAGAAGGGGAGAGCCGGGCAAAACCCCGTACCATCTCCCCCTCAAACACAAAAAACAAACTTTTTATTAGGGTTTTTTTGACCTGCCAAGCAAGCGCACCTGACATGGCAAAGGTCGATTGACAACCAGTAGAACATTACACATCTCACATTTTTTTGTTACCCTAGGCTATACCCCTCTGGTACACACCGAAAATACACACACAAACTATCTTCTTTATCATACCAAGAAGATGACAAACGAAACACTTCCGCAATCCTTCACAGCTTCATATCAAAATCCGATCTGAATCCATAAAGAATCACGCGATCTGAATTGATTGCACCGATCTAACCAAGCGTTTTAGATCTGAAAATGATCACAAAAAGTTGAAAAATTAATAGATCTGAACCCAAGAATTGCAATACATACGAAATTATCAAAGGCTGTAAATTAATAGATCTGAACCCAAGATCTACTACGTACCTCGATAGATCTTTCGATTTCCAGTCAATTCACCCATGGCCGAAGAAAGGATAAGTCTTGAACCACATATCTCTGAATCGAAGATCGGAAGCCAATCGCTCAACGAAAACACTCGAATCCATAATCAAAAAGCAGATCGTCTAACGAATTCAAACCTGAGAAATCAAAGAGGAGATCTAACGAATAGGGGGTAAGAGCATCCCCACCAAAGCCCCTAAGCCCCCTCTCCTTACTTATTTTGCCGGGTAAATGGCTCCCTGTCACATGCATTACTACGTACCTCGATAGATCTTTCGATTTCCAGTCAATTCACCCATGGCCGAAGAAAGGATAAGTCTTGAACCACATATCTCTGAATCGAAGATCGGAAGCCAATCGCTCAACGAAAACACTCGAATCCATAATAAAAAAGCAGATCGTCTAACGAATTCAAACCTGAGAAATCAAAGAGGAGATCTAACGAATAGGGGGTAAGAGCATCCCCACCAAAGCCCATAAGCACCCTCTCCTTACTTATTTTGCGGGGGTAAATGGCTCCCTGTCACATGCATGGGATCCTTTAAATAATTTTTTAAATTAGTTTTTACTACAGTAATTTTATATTTATAGAGAGTTACTGTAACTCATTTTTATTGTATATATTTTATTTTGTTTTGTTTAGAAATTGCAATATATATTTATAAATTTTATTTTTTTATAATTTATAATAAAAAATTATATTTTAATAAAATAAAAAAAATAAGAAATTTATTAATAGAATAGAAAAAAAATAAAAAGTCTTTTGAGAAGAGTAAATGACAAAGTAATTTTTAAAATAATCCATAATCAAAACGCAGATCGTCGAACGAATTCAAAGCTGAGAAACCAAGGAGAAGAGATCTAACGAAAAGGGGGTAATGGAATTTCACGGTGAGAGAGAAGCTGTACAAAAAAATAAAAATGTGTATAGGGGGAGGGGATTCTCGATTTCCTTCGACTTGGACGAGATAAGCTTGCCACGTGTTTCATCGTGGCTCACATAGCAACTCGTTTAAAATGTGAAATGAGAAATAAAATCCGGTGGTAATAGGATTAATTAGGGTGTGTTTGTTTGGACAGACTGGATAAGAGGGATTATAATTCATTGAATTATTAGTTTTGTGATACATTGTTCTCGGACTATTTAGTTGGACTGAATTTATATCTTATGTTTGTTTAGTCATGGGATTAGATGTCTGGATTAGACTATTTTTAATTATCTAATGTTTATTTGGGATATTATGGAGAAGGATACTTACTCAAATAACTATTTTATCATTTTCAATTATTTACTAAGTAATAGTAATATTAAACATAGCTTTAATATTTTAATTATTTTTAGTTAGATTAAATAAAAATTTATTTTATTTTATTTTTTGCACAATTAAATAAATTTATTTTTAAAAAATTAAATAAATTAAATATCAATAAAAATATATGTTATTTTTTAATTAAAATTTTAAATAAATTTATTGGATTATTAGTCTTGGGATATATTGTCCTCGGACTATTTGGTTGGACTGGATTTGTATCCTATGTTTGTTTAGTCATGACATTACATGTCTAGATTGGACTATTTTTAGTGAATCCAATGTTTGTTTGGGATATTATGGAGAAGGATAAATGCTCAAATGATTATTTTATCATTTTCAATTATTTACTAAGTAATAACAATATTAAACATAACTTTAATATTTTAATTATTTTTAACTAGATTAAATAAAAATTTATTTTATTTTATTTTTTGCACAATTAAATAAATTTATTTTTAAAAAATTAAATAAATTAAATATCAATAAAAATATATGTTATTTTTTAATTAAAATTTTAAATAAATTTATTTTAAATAATAATACTAATTAAATAATGAAATAAAATAAAAAATATATTAAAATTTAAATAATGAAATTAAATAAAATATAAACAAAATTTTAAAATAAAACATCAATAAAATATCTAAAAAAAATTATTTAAACACACAAATAAATGAAAAATCAATAAAAAGTTAAATAAAAATATTTATTTTGATAATTTAAATTTTTTAATATATAAAATTTATTAAGTATTTTATTATTATAAAAATTATATAAATTGAATATCTATAGTCATATGATTAGATTATATTTCTATCAATGATAAATATAATTTTTAAAATAAATTTTTGATAAAAATTTGATCCGATCAAGTACTTATCGATATCCAATTATGTAATTTTTTACAAGAATAAAATACTCGAGAAGTTTTACATATTGAACGATTCAAATTATTAAAATAAGACTCATGATAAACATTATAGATCTAAGCAGTACGGTCTAGTCCACATGAAATCTAAGTCCATAAAATAAATAATAAGTGTACTGTGTTTCAATAATTTAATTTTATTAAATCGGTAAAAATCAAAGAGTATATATGTTACTTATATATAAATATACTAGTTGGACTACGGTCGCGTTATCATTACCCGAAAATCAAAATACAAACGTAATGTTAACTTGAAACTAAAATACAAGCGTTCATGCTCCCAACATAAAGGAGAAGAAAAATGAAAAACATATATGTATGCGCATCGTGAATTAATTTAACATATCTGTTACGGTTGTTATTTGAATCAAGAATCTCTGTTTTAGAATCGTACATGAGATTTTCATCTCAAACGATTGCTTCCATGATACCAAACGTAATATAAATACTTTCTAAAAAAACAAAATATAAATGTTCCTCATAAGAAAAAATATGTGTGAGAGAGAGAGAATGAACTAAATAACTTCAATCGACAAGAGAGAAATCCAAAACCAAAACTCTTAAAAACTCAAGACAACATCCCTCACCCTGTGTTCCCAAACGAAGATGTTGTCTGCAATCTAATACCTACTATTGTTGCTTGTATTTTGGTGGACACTCACTCTGCTGACCTTCTTTACGTAGTGCTCGCATACTCTTCTATAATTCACAACAAACCAAATGTTATCCAAAGCACACACCATTGAAAATCTTTACATTTTGTACAGAGCAAAAAATAAATTATGTAGTTGTATCATCTCCCACCTTTAGTCTAGATGAAAGCTAGAAAATCCCAATCAAATGGCCAACAGAAAAATAGGGAAATAAAGTATTAGTACGTTCAGAAATTGAAAATTAATGATGGTAAGGAGGAGACTTTGGCTTTTGCTTAGAATTTTGTAAGAGTTACCTTCTTCGTGTTGGTTTTGTCCTTATCATCATCTTCGTCTATGTCTTCATCATTGTCCTCGTCTTTATCTTTTGGTAAGGAGGAGACTTTGGCTTTTGCTTAGAATTTTATAAGAGTTACCTTCTTCGTGCTGGTTTTGTCCTTATCCTCATCTTCGTCTGTGTCTTCATCGTTGTCCTCATCTATATCTTCATTTTCTTCTTCATCATTATTATCTTCATCGTCATTGTCGTTATCCACGTCTTCAAAGTCATTCCCCTGAATAGCCTCCCTCGTAAACCACAAGGCAACATGGGGGATAATTGTGTCCCGAATAGTTGAACTGCATATATCAACACACATCAAATTACCTTTCTAGACATAAGTTGTAAAAAAGTACCTGTCATGATCTCATTCCGCTTCTAATAGAATGATGTTGTGATGACCAATAATCTTAGATTACCGAGGGCCAACTTACAAAGCTTCACACATACAGAGTATACATATGGGGCATACATGTACAGAAGTAATAAATTTAAATCTAATTAGTCCATAAGAGTTGTGCATAGGTTAAAGGAAATGGCATACATTGAGATACATAAAATATTAACATAGCTTTACAACTTGGATACAAACAAGATAATAAGCTTGTACACAAAGATCCACATGTTACATCTTGATCAAAAGGTTTTTCAAGCCAAAACATACAAAAGAAAAAATCTACAAAACTAAGAAGCACAATCTTCCAGATGAATACAAAACATGAAACAAAACACATATTCCACCAAACTTAGGCGACATTGCCTTCTTGTTCATCATCTATATATATATATAAGGGAGATGGATGAGCTAAAAACTCAATGAATAATATAAATAATAAATGTTTGAATGAATGATATCCAAGATTTTTATCAAAGAAATACACATCATAGCTTGTAACAAAATCAAAGGGTGATCCGAGTTCATTAATCAAAGGCTTTCAAAGCTTCAAATGATGTTTACTAATATCTACATAATACAAATAATGAACATTCATTGACAAAACAAATGAATAACCGACCCAGAATCGATTAGACAAGTCCACTCGTCTGTGGCAAATAATGTGACACCCCAATTTTTTTTTAGAACATCATAAAATTTAAATAACAAATAACTTGCTAAATAAAAAAATTTAACAACTAATTAGAGAAATTTAAATTCTCACATAGTCAAAGTTTAATAACAAAACAAAATTACGAGTCTGCATACAATATTGCAACAACTTTATAACACTCGTAATTACTAATACAAAAGCTAATAAAATTTTATTTTGCTAAATTCTTGATTTCAAGTTAGCCACGGTTCTATACTAGTAGCGGCCCCAATTTTGGCTTCAGTCCCATTCTCGTTATAACCTAGCATAAAATGCCAGGGCAACAAAATATATGCCATGAGTTTTGTAACACAGTAAGAAAACATAACCAACCTACCATTCTTTTTAAGAGAAAATAATTAGATAATAATCATGACAATTAAGAGAAAATGACAGAATTAATAGCATGATGATATAACAACAATTTAAAATTATTTCAATAATTTTATGAGTTTAGGTGACACCGAAAATCTCACCGAAGATATTTTCTTTACAACCACTAAGCCATGGCCACAGTTAATTTGGAAACCCCCCCTTAGTTAAATATTCAAGAACTACTAAGGATGCCCACACCCAGAGTTATATACCCAAGCCGTGGCATTCGTGGTCTGTCCTAAGGAAACAGTCTGCTAGGAGTATGTAACCTCCCTGCACGCTACCCGCACATCCACCCTTATCCCAAAACCAAATACCGATAAGGGTTCAAATAAGTCCCGTGCTATCTTAGCGTTTTGCGACATAATTAACATAAGAATTCTCAAAACCAGGACTCACCCTGAACAACAGGTATTAACCCTCAATTGTTAACTTTGTATATGTCATTAATCATTTCAATTAGTTTTTACATTAATCACAAATAATTCAAATTTTAATTACCAATAATATTATACCAGCTTATTAAAATTCCTAATATAAAATATTACACATGTCACACAATAATAATTCAATGTACAAAATTTAAATAAACAATTTATTTAAACCATGGTATGAAATGATAATTTAGATACAAAGAAAATAAACCATAATCACACACATGCATGGATTTTTAATTTACAAGATTAAACTAGCACAATATTAAATAAACCACAATACACCCATACATGGATTACTAATTTAAAATATTTAATGAATTAGACCAACACAATAATTAATTTTTATCCAAATAAATAATTGAAGTAATGATCTTAAATCTGCCCAGAAATTTTCAGGATATATCTTAGGTAATAAAAATTATAAATAAATTATTTATACAATTCTAAAATTCGTGAAAATCTACTGAATATTCAATAAACATGCTTAAGTCATTTTTCAGAAAGAATTTCCCAAAAATAAGTTATAAATAATTCTGTAAAATTTCCAGAAATTTCATGACACAAATTTATCACATTTTCTTAAATTATTTCCATACATAAATTCATAAATCAATTCCATAATCCAAAAATTTATTATGAAACTAGACTTCTCAAATTTGATTTTTTATTTAGAAATTACTAGATTTGGTTTAATATAAAATTTTTAATAATTTTTCAAACACATAGTAAAATCTGCTTATGGGTCCAGATTTGGTTAAAAGTTTGTATAAATTTGTACAAAACTCAATAATTGTTGCAAAAATTTCTGGATGAAATAGACATCATTCTAAACAACTTTATAGAAGAAATCATCTCAAAAGTTTGAGTATAAAATTGTCTAAAAATTTGTACAACTTTCTGACAGATTTAAGGGCCAAATAAAAATTTCAATAATCTTTTTAATGGCATAAACTACACATGCAAATCCAAATTCTACAATAATACCATGATTTTAAGACTACCAATAGCTTCAAATATTTGATATACAAATCATAAATTTACATACAACTATAAATAAAATTCTATTTACAAGTTTAGTCATTTTATCATATGAATATAATCTGAAAATTTCAACAATTAAAAAAAATAAGAGGGTTGAGAGGGTTTTCTTACTTAATAATAGGATGATGAAATGATAGAAAATTTTAGCTTCCCTAATCTCCCACTCTTCTTCTTTTAACCTTGCTCACATAATTCCTTTGTTTCTCCCCTCTTCACTGATCCGGAGGAGCAACATTTACACATATATATATATATATATATATATATTTGAATTCAACTGAGCCTTCCCCCTCTCTCTGTCTCTCTCTCTCTCACACATCATTCTATGTTGTCTAATGAAAATTTTCAAATCCAAGGCACATAATTTGGGTCTTATTCCTATATGGTATGCAAGCAAACATGTGGCATTCTCTGCCATAGAAAATCTGAAATTTCAGATTTTTTTATTATTATTAAAATTAATACACTAAGATTTTTAACTAAGGAATTTAGTAAAAATAACTATCATGTTGAATCCTTATTAAAATAATTTATAAACAACAAACATTGAGCATCTACAAAATTATTATTCTTAATAATATCTTTGTTAGTGATTGAATTGAGTTAATTTAAGATTAACTTTAGCACTAATATATTTCAGATAGACTCGAGATAAAATTAATTTTTTTTAAGAATAATTAAATGTGGGTTTTCACAATCTACCCTCCTAAAAAAAAATTCGTCCTCGAAATTAATTCGTACCTTTAGACTCGAAAAGCAAAGGGTAATTGGCACGTATCATATCTTCTCGTTCCCACGTTAACTCTTCCATCCCACGTTGTCTCCAGAGCACTCGAACCAACGGTATGGTTTTACCTCGTAATTTCTTCTCGCGACGATCTAAAATTTTGACAGGATTTTTTTCAAATGTCACATCTTCATCAAGATTAATTTTCTCCCAATTAATGATTTGAGAAGGGTGTGGCTCGTATTTCTGCAGCATAGAGACGTAGAAAACATTATGTACTCCAGCCAGTTGAGGTGGTAAAGCCAAATGGTACACCATCTCTCTTATTTTGTCCAAAATTTTGAAAGGCCCAATGAAACGAGGTGACAGCTTTCTTTTCTTTCCGAAACGAACAACTCCTCATCGGGGTTGTATTTTTAGAAACGCATGATCTCCAACTTGAAATGCTAAAAGCCTTCTCCTTTGATCTGTATAACTTTTCTGTCTACTCTGAGTAGTCTCAAGTCTTTGTCTTATTAATTTTACCTTTTCAGTAGTTTCTTGAACTAACTTTGGCCCTAAAAGAGGTGCTTCTCCGACTTCCGTCCAACATATTGGTGATTGACAAGGCCGCCCATATAGAGCCTCATATGGTGCCATACCAATACTTGCTTTAAAACTGTTATTGTAAGAGAATTCGACTAATGGTAAGTGTCTCTCCCAACTACCCTTAAAGTCCATCACACAAGCTCGAAGCATGTCTTCTAAAGTCTGAATTGGTCTTTCTAACTGACTATCAGTTTGAGAGTGAAAAGTCGTACTAAAACACAACTCTGTACCCATAGCTTTTTGCAGACTTTGCCAGAATTGTGACGTAAAATGAGGATCATGATCTTACACTATTGAGATTGGTACCCTGTGCAACCTAATGATTTCTCGAATAAATAATTGACTTAATGATTCGAGTATGTCTGCTGGCCTATTGATAGGAAATGTGTCGTCTTAGTTAACCGATCAATCACTACCCAAAAGGCATCATGGCCTTGCGGCGACAGGGGTAGTCATGTTACAAAATCCATTGTTATACGTTCCCATTTCCACTCAGGTATTGCTAAAGGTTGGAGTTTCCTTGCCGGCTTTTGATGTTCTGCCTTTCCTTGCTGACACGCCAAGCACTTAGATACGAATTGAGCAATGTCTTTCTTCATTCCACTCTACCAATGCTGTCGCTTGAGATCTTGGAACATATTGTTTCCTCTTGGATGATCCGCAAAAACTGAATGGTGAAATTCTTTAAGTACTTCTTCTCTCAGTTGTTCGATATTCGGCACAAAAATTTTACCTAAATGCCTTAAACTACCATCTTGATAAAGTGTCTAACCTGGTGAAGATTCCTCAAACACTAATCGTTCTTTGATGAAGTCGGTCTCTTGATTAAATCTTTGGGCTTCCAACGCTTTGGTAAGAAGTTGGGGTGTTGTAACTATCGCAAACAACCTACCCTTCCCATTTTGAGTCTCTGGTTGTAACTTAAACTCATTCACGGTGCTTACCATTTCCCATTCTTTAATTGATATGTTGGCTACAATCTCTCTTGTCTTTCGACTTAGTGCATCTACTACATCATTAGCATTCCCTGGATGATAAGACAAAGTGAATTGGTAATTTTCAAGGTATTTTATCCAACGTCTCTGTCTCATGTTCAAATCTCTTTGGGTGAACAAGTACTTCAAGCTTTTGTGGTCCGTAAATATCTCAAACTTTTCGCCATAAAGGTAATGTCGCCAAGCCTTTAGTGCATAGACCACAACCGCCAACTCCAGATCATGAGTAGGATAATTTTTCTCATGATTCTTCAATTGTCTTGATCCATATGCTACTACCTTCCTGTTTTTCATTAACACGCCACTTAACCCTTCCATAGAGGCATCACAATAAACCGTGTATCCGATGTCACGTTTGGGTATGATTAGTATAGGAGCGCTTGTCAGTCTCTTATTGAGTTCTTGAAATGAATGCTCACAAGTTTCGTTCCATTCAAACTTTACTCCTTTTTTGTTAGGCGTGTCATTGGCTTGGCTAATTTGGAGAAATCTTGAATGAATCTCCTATAATAACCTGCTAATCCCAAGGAACTGCGAATCTCAAATGTATTCTTAGGTTGTTTCCATCTCATTACTGCTTCTACTTTAGCAAGATCCACTGATATTCTCGATTCGGACACAACATGACCTAAGAATTTTACTTCCTCCAACCAAAATTCACATTTGCTAACTTTAGCATACAATTGGTTCTCCTTTAGAATTTGCAAAACGGTTCTCAGATGTTGCTCATGATCTTCTTCTGATATTGAGTATATCAAAATATTGTCAATGAATACTACAACAAGTTGGTTCAAATAAGGTCTAAAAATTTTGTTCATTAAACTCATGAATACCCCAGGCGCATTCGTCAAACCAAATGGCATTACCACGAACTTATAGTGGCCGTAACGGGTTCGAAATGCAGTTTTGGGTATATCTTCTTCTTTGACACGAAGTTGGTAATATCCCGACCTAAGATCAATTTTGGAAAAACATTTTGAACCTCTTAATTGATCGAACAAGTCAGCAATTCTTGGTAAGGGATATCGATTTTTAATGGTGACTTAATTTAGTTGTCGATAATCGATGCACAATCTTAAGGTTCCATCTTTCTTTTTCGCGAATAATGTTGGCGCTCCCCCATGGAGACGTACTTGGTCTGATGAACTTTTTATTCAACAATTCTTGCAACTGCCCCTTCAATTCTCAAAGTTTAGCTGGCGCCATACGATGTGGTGCTATTGAAATTGGTGAAGTCCTAGGTTGAAGCTCGATCGTGAAATCTACGTCCCGTTTTGAGGGTAGTCCCGATAATTCGTCAAGGAAAACGTCAGCGTACTCGCATACCACATGGGGCAATCTTGGATCCTTTCGATTTTTGTCTTCCAAAATTAAGCTTGCCAACCATCTAGTTAGTTGATCATGCCATCGCGACTTGCGACACGCTAGAGTTAGAAAATCTTGTCCATCTCCTTTAAATTGAACTTTTGTGCCATTAAGGGAGGATGCTGTCACCGTCTTACGGTAACAATCAATAATGGCTCGATGAACTAACAACCAGTCCATTCCTAGGATGACGTCAAAATCAAACATCTCCATAACTCTTAGATTGCAAATCAAATATGAACCAGTGATTTCTAGTTCATAAGATTTACATACTAGATTTACTCGGGTTTGACCACCTAAGGGTGAAACAACACTCATAGCTATCTCTAACGTTTCTAGCTTCAAACCCAAACTTAACACATATGCAGAGGATATTAAAGAATGCGAAGCTCCGGAATCCAACAATAGTTTAACCCAAGAATTCATAAGGATTAACATACCTTGAATTACTGATGGGTTACCAACATCTTCTTCTTCTTGGAAGGCATACATTCTTCGTACTGCCTGTTGGTTAGTCCCTCCTGGTTTCTTTCCATTTCCAGCTCCTTGTGGCTCTATTCTTGGCCGACTTGCATTCCTAAAGGCTTGTGGTTGCCCCTTGTTGGTCTAAGTATTTTGAGTAGGCTTAAAGCCTTGCCCTGGCTGGCACTTGTTGTATTGTTGTGCCCCTCGTTAATCTATAAAAATATTCCCCACCTTGAGGACGCTCACTTGGATGATGCCCCTGTTGACCACATCTGAAACACTTTTCTTTCCACAAATTTACAAAGTTTCCTCCTTGTTGGTTTCCTCAATTCTACCTTTGTTGCTGCTGCAATCCTTCCGTATAAGGTGCTGGTGCAGAATGGGTTCTAGTGTTGCAGACTGGACCTCCTTCACGTGGTTGGTTATTGTTCCTTAATCGTTGATTTCGAATGCATTCGGAATCCGCTAATTCTCATTCCACAATTAAAGCTCGATCAACCAAGCATAGGTGGAAAGTTGCACTACGATCAATCTTCCTCTAATGTCTGTGTCCAAACCCCATTCAAATCGTCTAACCTTATTCTCTTCATTTGCTACTATGGCTGAAGCATACCGTGAGAGAGCCTCAAAACGGTTTGCATATTGAGTGACTGACATTTTTCCTTGTTTCAGTTGGAGGAACTCTTGAACCATTTCTTATCTTAGCGAGTTAGGAAAATATTTTTCTATGAATAAATCTTTGAATTGTCTCTAAGTTAATGTCTCTACTTGTTGAGTACTTCTGATCATTTCCCATCAATGATCTACTTCCCCTTCTATTTGAAATGTTACCACGGTCACTCTATCTTGCTTATTGTGAATGTCAAAAGTATCTAGCAACTTCTTAATTTGTCTTAACCAAGCTTCAGCTTCATAGGGGTTTGATCCACCAAGGAATTTGTGGAGATGTAGCTTTTCAAATTTTGCTATCATTTCATATTTGCTTTGATCTTGGTTTCGGGGTGTTATATTGCCTACCCTATCAACAATTGCGTGTATAATTCGAGCGACATTGCCATCAGACACTCCATCACCATCACCGTTGTTACTATTTCTTGTTCGTCCAACCATTCTACACGATGGGATCTTTAGTAACTTGTGATTTATTCATTTATTATTATTATTATTATTATTATTATTATTATTATTATTATTATTATTATGTGCAAGGATAGTAATTAAAAAAAAATTCATTAATTAGATTAAACACGCTACAATTAGCAAAATACAAAATAAAACAAAAATAAAAATAAAATACTAAGGGAAAAAGATAGCCCCTACAATCCAAGTTAACTCCTACACCTACAATTCTAAACTAGGCAATTTTACGTGTAAGCATACAAAACAATTGGTTAGCCTAGTTTGTAATTCCCTTAAGATCTCTAAAACAACCAAGGAAAGGCTCTCCTCACAAGGACCTCCGGCTCCCACATGGCTTGAAAAGGCCCCATGAATTGCCACAACACCCTTACGAAGACAACAATTTTCTGCACACAATGCCCTAGTGGCTGCACAGGCTCCTCCCGATAGATCCTCCAATCCTTGGAGTCCACTGACCCATCTCTCTTTACAATTCTGCTTGGGTCGGGCATAATCTACTGAAGGCATAATATACTGAAGACTCCTAATGCCAAAGAGGTTGCCTATCTTCTTGGTGAAGCCATCCGGGAAAGGGCTTGGCTGATATAACCAGGGAGTCTCTTGCCTCAAAATTTGAACAGGTCCAATGTAGGCACCCACCTAACTCTCAGATTTCCAAGCACAACCTTCTAGAGGATAAATTCTAACATATACAAATGAGCCAATTTGCAGCCCCTTTCGAACATCCCAATTCTCAAACACATCCTCTATATCTCCAGTGCTCGC